CGTGATCACAATACAAAGAATCCAATCTGATCTCACAGCGCAACCCCCTTCGGGCTAGAGAACGGCCCACGGAAGCGGATATCACAGAGCTACCTTGAAGATCCATTCAAGTTACCTTTGTTCCGCATATCGAGGGAGCAACAATCGGAGACCATCCACTCGGTTTAATCAAAGGCGGCGAGCTGCCGCCCAGACTCCAGGATCTCAGCAGTGCCAGCTCAGCACCCTGACCGCTGAGCCACCTGGCCAAGGTACACTGGAACCCCCTCGCGTGACCTCCACGCTGTAAGGCGGCCGTCGCCAGGTTACGCACACGAGCTGCGCAAGTCGTTGCCAAAGAGTTCAGGCCAAGGTAAAGCGAGCGTGGCATACGTGCGATGATTTGCCGCTTCAACCCTCCCATCTCCCAACGCTTGGCTTTACTGTTCCAAGAGGGAGGTGAGAAGCAGGCAAGGCAAGGGGGGGGGGGAACGGTGCCTTGTTCATTTTACGCGTCTCTGTCGGCTGTTCGCACCACCACCCTGCGCGTTGTACGGTGATGCTGCTGCTCAGTCGCCACCACAGCTAATGCGCCATGCTGCCTCCTCCCCGCGGGCAACACCCACACACGCATCCCACAGGCAGCCACCCGCTCCCACGAGGCATCGGCCGTGTGCATCCGGGCGTGGAGATAAATGAGGCCCGGCCACCCTCGTTAATAACGGAGCGCCGCGCGCTATCACAACCACCGCGCACACATGGCGCGCACACTGTGTACACATGACACGGACACACTGTGCGGGTGAATAAGAGAGCACGGGACGTTGCGTCTCTGTGCGGGAGAGGTTCATGTTGATAGCATCACAAGGCACACTCACCGCTATCACCTGATCCACTCACCACGGCCACATCACCTCCCCCCCCCCCGTCACAATCGTACCGCCCTTCCCAATGCAACCCTCACCCATCACTCGTCACCCTCGGTCCATCAGACTCGCCCGGTCGCTCATTATCTATCATCGCCCACACACGTCACCCCCGCAAGCCTGCCAGAGCCGTCGTGATAAAAATTCTAATTCCAGCGCGTACACGGCACGTAATGCAGGGCCGCGCGCTCACAAGCCACCCACCCGTAACGCACACAAGCCAGGCCGAAAGGAGCGCCCCTGTGCAAGTGTTAACACTCCGCGCTGCAATACCACACAACGGGAGAAACCTAACGCACCACCCCCCCCCCCCCACAGCCCGCGAGAACCGGCCGCACTCGACGCCGTTCTCGCGCTGGGCTCAAGGTGACCTTCGGAGAGAGTGTGGCCGCTCCCCGGCAGGTTTTCCTCTCCAAGCGCAGCCCCCCCCATTGCGGCCTCGTGGTGGCCCTGGCGACTGTAAAGCGCGACCGTTTTGACGGCGGCAAGGCCCGGCCGTGTGGCTTTACCGGCGCTGAAATGAAACGAAAGCGCTTAGCCGCCTTTAATCTGCCATTCCGCATTTGAGCGCAGCTGCTCAGATTCTTTTAATTATTACTGCACGTAATCTTATTAAAATGATTAATATGAGGATTGACCCGCACTCCACCCCAAGACGGGCGTTGCTGTAGCCCGGGGTGGGGCGGGGGGCGACATTGGTTGCGTTGCCCAATCGGCGGCTCCATCGTCACCACCACCGAGGTGGCGAGATGTTAACGACCTTGGCTGGTATACAGGAGGTCGTAGGTTCGATCCCTACCCCGACACCTGTATATTTGGAGTTTCCGTGTGTCTCTCCCAGTGGTCTCGTGGATTTTCTCTGGATCCTCCAGTTTTTCCCTCCACATTTAGAGTCAACATGCGTTGAAGAGTATTTGGCTGCTATAAATATCCACGTGAGAAGCCACTCCGTTGAGGTAATTTGTGATAGCCAGGTCGCTTCTGAAAAAAAGCTAAATAGCTCAGGCGGCTCGACCTGGTAAAATAAAATATAGTTGAGCTTCAGTTTCAGCCGCCTGCTATCCGACAGCCTCGCAGGCACCTTATGGCACCCGGGCACACAAGGGGTGGCAGCCAGCTCCTGTGTGCGGTTCAACTGCGCCAGGCATACCCGCCGGCGCGCACACCCCCGACCGTGCTATCGGCATCACAGGAACTCTCGCAGACTAGTGGAAGCCCTCCGTGTTGAAGGCCCCGGGGAAGCGGATATCCTGGAACCACCTCTAAAATCCCTTCAAGTGGCTTCTGGTCAGCACAGTAGAGAGCAGCACTTTCCCACCTGCTCTGCTACTGGCAGTAATGTTCATCACATGACAGTCAAACTGATATTTTTTTATTCTCAGGGTTGGAATTTGGCCAAATTAATGTGAACGGTTTTCATGTACAGTCATTGTTTACAGTTTTTTTTTTAAATACGACAGGAACCCTTCTTGCTGTGAAACACAAGTATGTATGTTGAACTTCTTTCGCACCGTATGTAGCCAACCATGCTGATCAGAGGGGCGGGGGGGGGGAAGGACAACAAACGAGTGTAATCAATGTGCCACCACCGAGCCACCAAAATATAAGTAGACGCTGTTTGTTTTTGGGGTTGTCTCTCCCATGAATGAAAATACTGGAAGGGAGCAGCAGCATCAATGCTGGCTGCGAGCGCAGCGCGTGGCCGAGTTTACTTGGGGCTTGGCCTTGTGCCAGGCCAAACACAAAGCGTCGCCACCGGGTGAAACTAGCGAGCGAGTCCTTATCAGGAGAGGAGACCTCTCCTCCACTCCAATCCCAGCTGGATTTCTCCCCGTCGCTGCCTTTTATAGCCACCCAATCTACAAACAAAGGGCTCTTTCTACACAGAGGAGGGGACTCCCAGCTGGTCCTGCCAGGGACATCAAACTTCATGGTTCCACTGTATTGTGTGGCTTTAAACTGCATATCCTTAAAATTGTTTTATAAATCCTTTTCCAAAATTTTATTCTAATTGTGCTATAGGCATCGCATCATGAGAGCAGCACAACCCTTCGTGTCAGAAGACGATCCACAGAAGTGGATATCACAGAAGTACCTCTGATCTGTCGCCCTTCAAGTGACTTATGCTCTGCACGGTGGAGGGAGCCACTTTCCGAACACCTGGCCCACCACCGACAGCAATGTTTCCACACGACCATCAAACTGATATATTTAATTCTTCGTGTTAAACTGATCTTTAATTCTCAAGAGCTGGAATTAAGCCAAATTAAATGCAAAACAACATTTACCGCAATGTGTGTTTGTGCGCATGTAGAGGTTACTGGCCACCGGGCTGGGTGTCGACTCAGCCACTCGTCACTACGGAAAGTTTGGCAACACCGAGACGAGGTTCCACATCCCCTTTGCAACGCACGGAGGCCTCTTTCGTGTTTACAGGCAAGACTAGTTGCTGCCTGCGGGCAGGAACAGGAATTAGCCACAGCAAACAGACTATGCAAACAAAAGTGTTGCTGCCACTGTCACCCGACAAGATAGTTTAATTCTCCGGAACATCATACATCATCCCCCCAACCCTAACTGCTCCTCTCCTGCTCCCCGCCCCCAACTGGGTGCACAGCAACCGGCACGGCTGTGGGGAACCTACTAGACATCTGTGAAAAAGTGCTTCATGGCTCTTCGGATTGCTCCAGTCTAAATAAAGATTCTGAGCAGCGCGCCCTGCTGTCTGAGCTCGGGTATCACGGCTCCCTTGGCTGTCCAGAGAGTGCATGCGGGGCTAACGGGGCTAGCAGCTGCTTGCTCCGCTTCTAGATTTAAAGCTTTCGTGACTGGAAGGATCCATACTCTTTGGTTCTATTCGGTAAAGTCACGTAAAAAAACAACAAAAAATTTCACGACGTTTCGGCCACAACACAAGTGGCCTTCATCAGGTGAAGGGACCAGACTGTCTAGAGGACAGCGCTGGAGTGAAACACAGCCAAGCTCAGACCGCGACCTTTAAGCTGTGTGAGAGGAAGCATAGCGCCTTGACGAAGGAATTAGCATAGAAAATTAGCATTTAAATGCTAAGCATTTAAATGCTATTTTTTGTCCTCAAGACAGTCTGGTCCCTTCACCTGATGAAGGCCACTTGTGTTGTGGCCGAAACGTCGTGAATTTTTTTATTTTTTGTTGTTATTTTACGTGACTTTACCGAATAGAACCAAAGAGTATGCTTGCTCCTCCTCTGTCTCCCTCACCCCCCTCCATGGCCGGGGGTCGCCACGGCACGCCGCACATGCACGACACCTCGTGGTGTCCGCGAGTGCTGATATTTCACCGATTTATACGCGTGTGCCACAGCTCGTCTTATTGACAATGATTCATGGAAAGATAAACAGAAAATATATGTCTGTGTCCCCCTCCCCCCCGCCCCACGTAAAAATCTGTACAACTTCCCCGCAGGAGGATTCCGTATTGGCACATTTGGCCAAATCTTTAATGAGCGGGTAAGCGAAAAGCCACGCACACACGCAAGGGTATATCACGATGCAGTACTGCCACCTGCTGGTCGTGTCTGGGTTGCACTGCAGTGTGAGACCAATCGGTATGACAAACCTCCAACCCTCCCCTGTCCACCCCGTTTCAGGGTAATCGTGGTGGCGGCTGTACATGCGCATGCAAGCCAGCACTGTGAAGGCAGTGAGGGTTAGTGGATCACGCAAACTTTTAGAAACTCCCTTCCTGTGGGTGTCGGGAAGGAGCCGTACGTAACCCCGGCTCGCCAGTAGTGCTCAAAACGTCGACGCAAAAAAAAAACCCCAGCACTGAACAGATCCACGTTGGTGCACGTGCCAAGCAGACGAGACTCGTGCTGCTGCGTTACCCGTCCTACCGATGTCACAATTGTGCTACAACCCCCCCCCTCCCCAACGTCACGCGCCGCATGATCTCATCTCATCGCGCGGCTCGAAACGCATCGTCATTACCGCTAATTAAATACATCTAATGACAAACGCGAGTCGGAAAGCATTGCAGAATTGATGCACGTGCAGGAATAGCCGTCATGGTTAACAACAACACCAGCGAGTGAGCCAGCGAGTGAGGAACACTCACCCGGACCACGCCGGGGAATGGTCGTTGAGGGCTGCGCCACCCTGCGTGGCGCCGAGCATGCCAGGGGTGTTGGGGTTGCCCAGCAGGATGGTACCCGTCATCGCTGTGCGTTGGGGGGTGCCCAGCATCTGGGCAAGGACAGGGGTGTGGGGGGGGCGCCAGTCAACAAGCACGCACACAAGCTCTCTACAGTGTCCACACTCGACATTCAAAACGAGGGTTTTAGAATCAACTCGCTTCGGAAGACTTGCTTACTTTACAAGGCTTTAGCGGCAGTTTTTAAGGAGGCCTGGAAATAAAGAGCAAAGGAGGCATGGCAGCAGGGAGGCAGACAAGGGGGCAGAGGGTTTACAGGGAGAATGGGTGGCACGATGGCAGGGAGACTGGCAGACACTGGAGGCAGGGATGGATGTTGTCAGGGTGACGGAGACCGGGATTATGGAGGCAAGGAGGTCAAAGCTTTACTCCTGTGCGGCGGACCGGTACCGTGAACCTTGTTTGCACAGTTAATTTTTTACGACCACTCACACACGTCGCATTATCGCGGTGGGGGTGTACACGGGAAGCCCTGGGCCTCGAGGTTTCCACGTGGTGGTGCAGGGTGAAGGTGGTAGTGCAGCGTGCGGCCGTGCAGTGTGCGGTGGTGCAGGAGGGTGCGGTGGGTGCTGCAGGGTGTGGTGGTGGTGGTGCAGGGTGAGGTAGTGCCGCAGGGTGCAGTGGTGATGGTGCAGCAGCGTGTGGTCGTTCAGCAGTGTGCCATTGTGCAGCAGCGTGCTGTGGTGGTGCAGCGTGCGGTGGTTCTGCAGGGTGCGGTGGTGGTGCAGGGTGCGGTGGTGGTGCAGGGTGCGGTGGTGGTGCAGGGTGCGGTGGTGGTGCAGCGTGCGGTGGTGGTGCAGGGCACGGTCGTGGAGCAGTGTGCGGTGGTGGAGCAGGGTGCCGTTGTAGTTCAGGGTGAGTGGTTCAGCAGGGTGTGGTGATCCTGTAGGGTGCGGTTGTGGTGCAGGGTGCAGTGGTGCAGCAGGGTGCCGTGGTGTGCAGGGTGCCTTGGTAGTTTAGGGTGCCGTGGTGCAACAGGGTGTGGTGGTCCTGCAAGGTGCAGTTGTGCAGCAGGGTGCCGTGATGGTGCCAAAGGGTGCTGGCTAACCATAGGCGAGTGCGAACTGGACTGGGAGGCCAGGCTGCCGCCAATGAGCTGAGCCTTGGGGCTGCCCACTGCACTCGTCACAAGCAGCAAGCCACCTGCAAGGGAACCCCCACCGTCACACGTCTTACAAAAGTCCCCCGTCGTGTAGTGAGCAGCTCCGGCCCGCCCGGCACCACTCGCATGCGCTCGTCATGCCGGGTGACCGGTAACGAAACAACCTCGCGGTGCCACTGAGGTCGTTCGGAGGTGGGGGGGGAGAACGGCCCTGACGAGTGTGGATCGTCGACGCTTTTACGAGTCGCCTCACGCGTGCGTTGCTCAGCGCAGTTCCATCCCTGTCCAGCACCACGTCTCGAACGCCCTGGATTCAAGCTACGGCGTAATTTTGACATTTCCTCTCGCCTCCGCAATGCACGTACGCGCGTTGAAACCTCTTGGCCAAACTTGCTGCAATTGGCTGCACATTGTTAACGTTTCAGCATTCCCTTCATGTCCCAAGAGCACTTGGTCTTTTCAGCACGGCATTCCCCGTCAGGGGCATAGCACAGCGTCTTTCCTGTGTTTAACACCTCCCTCCTTCCCAGTCGCTCCCCAAGGTGCATTCGGAGTTGTTGCCTGGTCACTCTTATTGTGGGCTCTAACTGCTGTGCAGTCATCATACGGCATGCCAGTTGAAACAACGGTGCAAGTTTCTTAAAATTGCTTCGCCACCGTCTCTGTCTACCGCCAGCAGCAACAATCAATAAAAAAACGATTATTTAGGCTCACAGAACGTATTATTCCCACAAAACACAAGCGAATTATATTCTGTTAAGTATAGGCTGCTGGAGACAAATATACAAAGGAGACAACTATGAGGCAAATAATAAATTCTTGACTTGCATCACATCCTCGAACCATGAAAACCATAGAACAGCCCAGAGGCATAACTAGTTGTGTTTGTATATTGCTCCTTTTCTTCAAGAACACCCCCCCCCCCGAGCGTGGCTGTGGCTCCCGGCGACTGCGTAGGGGCACAGCGCGGTCACTCGCAGAGGCTCGGTGCACTCAGCTGCCAACAAAGGGAGGCAATAATGGGTCACCTTGGTGACCCTGGTGCCAATTATAATCTCAGATTGCCTCTATTGTCAAGTACAGATGTAAACGCCCTCCTGGAATTGTTAAGCACAAACCCCACCACCCTGCCCCCCCACTACGTACACTGCCACGCATACGCTGTTCTCACTGCGAAGTGATTGGGCTCCTTGAATCTCGATTGGGCTCCTTGAATCTCGTGCAATCGGTTTCTATATAATCAGCTCAGAAAAACGAGACCCTTGATTTACCCAGGAAAGCCTCGCAGAGTCCCACGACTCATAAGAAGGCCCACCGGTGAACGTTGTTTGAGACATGGGAGCTAAACGGAGAACCCCCCCAAGCATACGAGGGAACGTTCAAAACTCCGGACACATGGATTCTATAATATTTCGTTATTTCGCCGTTGCCTGGCCGCCTCGCAGCACACCGAGACAAATGTCTACGCAGCAAAGGAGCCCTGTTGTTGTAGCACGAGCCAAAATTAGGCCACTGGAGCGATGCACTTTTAAATCTAAATTGAAATGTTTTTTTCTTTAGAACTGCATTTTGTGTTTAGTTTGTTGAACTTCCACCCGCACCTCCGATTAGCGCGGTTGTAGGAATGGTGCGGAAGTTCAACATACGTACGAGCCGTTCACACGCGCAAGGTCTCCACCGACAGGCGCGTTCGGTTTTTGTGGGAGAGGTACACGGGGCGCATTGTCACCACTTCAGCACGCAAAGGCACGAGAGGGACGCAGGGGTGGGATGGGGGGCAGCCAACGACGGTGCCTCACTCACCCTTGGTTGGGCTCAGATTCTCCACGAAGTTTTTCAGTTCCCCATTCTTGTCAAAGAAACTGACCTGGACCAGTCAAACGACAACAACGCAACCATCACCACAAAATATTTCAAAGATCTTCATCTACAGCCCCTTTGTCAATCCGCTGCCGGATGAAGGCCTTGCCACAGCGTGTCGGTCACAGGGATTCTTGTCGCTGTACACCACCAGGCTGGTCAGTGCGGGTCGGTGTAGGGCACAGGGGAATGTAGAACCAGGACAGTTCCGATATCACTCGCCACTGATGTTAGCCGTGGCTCGGGCACGAACTCAGGTCACCAGGTTTGGAGAGCAGCGTGCCAACCGGCACAGATGCATGCGGCGACCAACCCTAAAGTGCGATGCTCGTTAGGTCAGATAACGCAAAAAGTTGTTAAATAAGTACAACTATCTTCGTACAAGACGTGGGGGGGGGGGGGGTGTGATCCACGTGCTGAAATAGGGCCGCTCAAGTCTGGCAGACTGCTCCGTCTGGCGGAAGCCTCATTACTGCCACTGACCAGGCTCCCCGTGGGAACCAGCCAGCATCCCAATCAAGGCCATGGTCTCCATCAACCCAATTAGGGACGATCGCAGCTGCCGAATTCATCCTCTGCACACGTGACGAGCGATGGCGATACAAGCTTGTACTCATCGTCGTGATTCACTGATTTGTCGTAATTCGGAGTAACAAGACATGATGGGGAATAATAGCCATTTTCTATACTTTTAAGGCGTAAGCAATTAGAAAATAACACTTACTACCCAGAAACAAAAATCGTGTTACATAGTGGTAGGTTTTTTTTACGTGGTCAATGTAGAGCCTCTTGTGGCTGCAGGGACAGGACAAACGACTCTTACGCGAAGGGCTCAATGCGAGTATCATAGGCGTTATTTTAACCTACGTGACTTTACTGAAAAAAACAAAGAGTATGAATCCTTGCAGTCACGAAAGCTTCAAATCTAGAGTTAATAATTTGTTATAGTCAATGGACCGATTTCATTGTCACTACAAGCCCAGCCAGCGGTTAAGGCTCCACACCTTGGGCTCTCCTGCTGTGTTCTTGCGTGTTCCTGCGCGTTGTTAGTCACGGCGTCCAACGATTCTCTCTGCGTGCTGGGAGCTTATGCAGGAACCGAAGCACACGCCGCACGACCCCTAACCACGTGGCACGGAGAGCTACAACAACTTACAAGGTGGTGCCACCGCGCTGCCGTTCGATTTCCCACTGCCCTGCGCGATCACCGGCGCTTGCTCGCCACGTCGCGGCCTTGCTCGGCTGAGGCGATGCCATCTCCCTCCAACGAGGCTTCGATGCCTCGGCGTCTCCCCGGATCAGTGGCACTATGGGTCACAGCTTTACTCCCGTGTGGCGGTCCAGTACCTTGAACCTCGTGTGCCCAGTGAATTTTTACGGCCGCTCACACGTGTGGCATTACCACGGTGGGGGTATACGGGAAGTCCTGGGCCTCGAGGTTTCCATGCTAAACGTGATGCGGTCAATCGCTTGATGCCGATGAAACGCAAACCTTAAGTTTTACTTGTGCTCATTTCCCGCCCGGCCACAGCAAACATCCAGCAATGACATCTGCGGGCTGCGGTGAGAGCCGGAAACAACCTAACGGTGTTAGTTTGCGTGCACGCCAACATACGACCATCAAGTAACCCGCAACGCCCTAAATATCCTCAGACAGGAGAACTTAAGTGTGATTGAGCCTAGTTAGCACTTGGATGGGTGACCACCAGGGCTTGCCAGGCGTTGTAGGAGTGGGGCTATGAGGTGGCCAGCCGTTGGTGGTATTGAGTATCACCCCCTCTCGTGTGAGTTTTCGCCAAGCACTATGCTTTGAGCCAAAAAGTCAAGCTTCATAGAATGGAATTGGCCAAACACTCCAATACAGAAGCTTTGTAAATGTCTTGAGACTCAAGGAGGCTTTTCTGGATAAATGAAATAACCTCTTTTAAAAAGCGCCTTTCATATTGAATGATCTCAACGCACTGTACGCAAAAATAAAACCACACTTACACGTATAGATACAAAGTGAAAGAGAACGCTGAGTATGAATAGAAGGCTGATAACAATGTCAATAACTACCATCCACTCGAAATGTCAATAACTACACTCGAAATTACAATACAATTACTAGCATAAAAAGGAATACTTATAATTACAGAGTAATCTAATCAGAGATTTTAAAAAATCTTAAGTTACGAAGAAAGCCTGCAGTACAAATTGGTGAGTTTTAAGACAGTGATTTATAAAGTGAAACACTCAGGATCCCGAATGAAATAATGAGTAGACCAGTTTTGTGCAGTGGTGTATATAAAACTCGAGCAGATCGGTGAGATGTTTCAGGGGCCAGCTCATTCAAGGCCTTAAATCTGAGAAGCAGAATCCTGAAGTTGACTGTACTTTATAGGGAGCCAGTGTGGCGATGAAAGAATAGGAGAGTGATATGGTCACACGACTTAGAACTGGTTAAAACCCAGGCAGCTGAGTTTTTAATATCTATTTAAAACACTTTTATCAATTATATCTATTTAAAACACTTTAAGAAACGTCAGTAAGCAAGACATTGCAGTAATCCAACCTAGATGAAATGAAGGCATGCACCAGCCTCTCAGCATCAGGAAGGGACAGCATAGGTCCGAGTCGAGCTATGTTGTGTAAATGAGAAAAAAAAATTTAGGCAATATTACGAACTGCTTATATGTTTAGCTATGCGTATATCTATTGATTCGCGATATATGCATGGAATTGCATGTGTAAAAAATATATATAATTTTGGATTTGTATGATTTAATGAGCTTAGACGACTCCTGCATCCACTGTGGTTGTGCATGTGTGTTGCTGCGTGGGTCTGTGTACGGTTGCGAGTGCCTTTGTCTTTGGACGTCTGTGCACAAGTCAAATCGTCTGCCGTGCCTGCGGGAGCCGCACGCCCCAGACGGAGACAGCGCACAAAGCGCCGATAAGCCGAGACACCGCGGCACGTCGACACCACCGCGAACGCGGCGTGGGCTCAAACCAATTACACCGCATCAATGATCGCAGCCAGGCCGGGCGAGGTAATCTCACCATTTGTGCAGGGGGGGGGGGGGGGGGGGGCGGCCAGGCAAGGGGGCACGCGCGGGCGCAGGCTCCCACGGAGGCCCACCGAGGGAACCATTCCCGGGAGACGGCGCCTGAAAAGTTTAACGCGAGCCGTCCCCCGTCTCACTCTCCCATGCTCGCTCTAATGACGAGGCCGTTGGATCACCGTGTCGGAGGCTCTGGGCGTGACCTCCCCTCACCTTTCCCGGTCCTCGCCCCCTCACAAATCAGCTGGTTGTGATTGAAGCACGTCCGCTCTGCACCTCCGCAAGCAACGTCTTCCATGGGCGCTCTCTCTATTCTCGTGCCCTGTGCTCATCATCACCATCCGCCACGGTCAAACCACTTCTGAATGAAGGCTTCCCCCAAGCCGCCGCCATCTCCCGTTTTCTAGCGATGTGACAATCCACCCGAGCCGATGTTATAGGTGGCTGTCTTCTCGGCATACGTTCTATTCCTTGGCTGCCGCTCCGTTATACGATTCTTGACCATCGGCCACCATCGTCCCTTCTGACCGTGACGTGCTCTGCCCAAGCCCACTCACTTTTCGTATGCGAGGAAAGCTCCAGCGGGGTTTGCGTCTTGTCGGCTTTGCGAGTGAGCTCGGCGACTGTCTTAGACGTAGCCTCATTGCGGAGCGGCCGAGGACAGCAAGAGACAATTAACGGCCAGGCTTTCCAATTTTAATATCACCTAGATTAAAAATGTATTTCTTTAGAACTGCTTTATGTGTTTAGTTTGTTGTCTTTCCCCCGCATTTCCGACATGCACGGTTGGCTACCGACAGTACGAAACATTTTCAACATATATAGGCCAAGAGAAACAACGTGGAAACACTCATCAATTTCCACTCAAACATTTAAAAAATCTATGGTATGATCACATCCGCTTACCCTTACGTCTGGTACACATTTGCGACCACTGTTGTTTTACAGCAGTGCTATTGCCAAATGTGGAGGTTGTTATTTTGGCTTCTCCACAACTGACAATGTCGTAAATGCATTTGCTGAATACGTTGCCACGTGATTTACGGTTGTTGTTAAGTCACGAGAGGGCGCCGGGTCGTTTCAAATGACGCTCGCCATCGACGCTGGCCGGGGTTGGGAATCAAATACAAGACGGTGGCTTCATAGCGCGGTGCGCTCACCACTGCACCACAATTCCCCCAAGTCACGTTATTGAGCCAGCACTCAATCATTCAAGTCACTTGTTCACTTGTGGTCGTTTGCCTCCTTGTCACTCACCTTTCCCTACTCCCATGGTTTCTGTTTCCATGAGCTTAACTCATTGCTTCCTCCGACTGTGTTGAGTACTCGGTCTACCAGACACCGACTGTTTGGACTCATCCACACGGTGTTCGACAACCACCACACTTGCAGGTCAAAACGCTTCTTCCATTTCCTTCCTCACACGGCTGCACTTTGGAATTGCTCCAATTTGGGCCGGTGCTTAGAAAGGGATGAGAAATGTTCCAAGCATACATCCGCCTACGGTTTCTTAACGATAACACAGCAGCCGCAAGGAATCCCTGGGAAAGGTGGCAAGATGCCTAACACCCCCTCCCCCCCGAGACCCCCCCTGCCCCCCCTCCACACCACAACGCCACCAGGGGTGGAGGGGGGCACAGCCGTCGCCGAGTAGCTCACATCTTTGGACATGTTGCCGCAGTAGGATGCCACCGCGCGCTTGCAAAATGTCACGGCGCCGTTTGTCTTCAGACATCGATCGATTTACAGCGGGTGCCTCGGTCTCTCCATAGCCATCGTCCTGCGGAGAAACGAAACCAGGGAAAGGGCTCGGGTTAAACTTCACTCCGATCGTGTCGGTATCGAGGCAGCGAGCAACACCGCACGCACGTGTTGCAGGTGTGAGCAATGCTCAGCACGAGGTGTGCCAGAGCCGCGTGGATTTCAGTAAAGTAACGAAACAAGACTCCTGTGCCTTGTTTCCATCATCAGCCATGCTCAATTCACTGCTGGATGAAGACCTCCGTAAGCGGCATCATCTCCTCTCGGTTCGGCAATGCAACAAAATCCACCTAGCACTGGCACGCGCTCAGATTTCATCGTTCCATATTTGCTGCGGGTGGGCGTACTGTCTCGGGCGCGTTTTCCTTTGGCTGCCATTCTGCCCTTAGTCTCGACCACCGGCCATCGTCCCCTCTAGCGGTGACTCGTCCTGCCCAGGTCCAACTACTTTTCCTAGCAGTCAAAATTACATATTTAATCTGCCCACTCTCTAACCAAAGTCTTCCCTTTTCTGTCTCTCAGTGTAATTCCACGCACGCAGCTATCCGTGCTTCTTTGGGTGCATTTCAGCATCGTTTCTTGGTGTGTTACGTCTGCTCAATCATTCACCGTCGTGGTAGCCGTGTGACCACCACGGTTGTAAAGCAAGAGACACCTTCTCACAACAGTGCCCAAGGGTTCGTATCCTGCACAGATTATATGGGGGCCCAAATCATTTACACGCCAAGCGAGGGGAGAATTTCTTGCGTAGGTTCCTGCAGTCAACATCGGTCTCTCGTTTTCTGTGTTGATCTTCCCTTTCTTCACAAACCCCTGGGCTATCCCGCTGCCTCCGCCACAAGGCGAAGGTGAACGCAGGCATTGAGCAATGTGGACAAACGGCCTCCTCGCACGCACAGAATCAAACGGCTTTTTTCTGTTGTGGGATTTTTACGCGCTCACAGTCCTCAACCGGTACTACGCGCATTCCACAAGTGCTTTTAATGACCGTCAATGAAGGTTGTGGAACTACGTGTACTTTTGAAGAGACACCGCACACACACACACTTGTGGCTGACATGTGTAAACCACCACAACGTGTGTCCGTGAATTACACTATGTAACACGATTTTTGTTCCTGGGTAGTGTTATTTTCGAGTTGCTTATGCCTCAAAATATAGAAAATGGCTATTATTCCCCACGTTTGTGACCAGGACTTTATGTGAAGGAATGAAACAAATGCACACGTTTTCTCATTCAAAATAGGTAAATTTCAAAATATCACAGTCCTGATCATAAAAGCAAAGTTTGTGGGGAATAATAGCAATTTTCTGTACTTGAGGCATAAGTAATTAGAAAATACTGTACTACCCAGGAACAATTTTGTTTTTATCAGTGTTATTAAACTAAGTATTTTAGGGTTCTGCTCCGAGGTAAAGGTTGGTGGTCAACTTGGGTTTAGTGTCACGGAAACAGATTGCATACTCGCCCTGCCTCGCACTTCCTCCGTGGAGTATTCAGCCAAGCACACTCCTGTACTCACCACACCGAACACACTCCTGCACCCAGCACTCACCACACCAAGCACACTCCTGCACTCACCACACCAAACACACTCCTGCACCCAGCATTCACCACACAAAGCACACTCCTGTACTCACCACACCAAGCACACTCCTGCACTCACCACACCAAACACACTCCTGCACTCACCACACCAAACACACTCCTGCACCCTGCACTCACCACACCTAGCACACTCCTGCGCCCTGCACTCACCACACCCAGAACACTCCTGCACCCAGCACTCACCACACCAAGCACACTCCTGCACCCAGCACTCACCACACCAAACACACTCCTGCACTCATCCACACCCAGCACTCACCACACCCAGCACTCACCACACAAAGCACACTCCTGCACTCACCACACCAAGCACACGCCTGCACCCACCACACCAAACACACTCCTGTACTCACCACACCCAGCACTCACCACACCAAGCACACTCCTGCACCCACCACTCACCACACCACACTCCTGCACCAAGCACTCACCACACCCCTACACCCAGCACACACTACAGCTCCGATCACACCACATTACATATTCAAGCACATCACATATCAAATAGATTGCACACCCAGCACATCACACTCCCAGCACACCACATCACACTCCCAAGCACATCACATACAAACTAGATTGCAGATCCAGCACATCAAACAGTACATCATCACAGCACTCAGCAAATCACATCGCACACCCAGCACATCACATCACCCAGGTCCCCGTAAGTTCATGACTCACTGCACCCGCTTTTGAACTACACAGGGATCCCCTTTTCTGCGAATGAAGACCCCCTTTACCCCCTTGTCTAGGAGGGATAAGGGGTTCATTCAGGATGATTAAGGGGCCTCCTTCGCTTAGCAACAACACTGGGACCCGGGCCCTCTAGGCGCCGCCATTTGACAAGAGCGGCGACAGGACGGAGGCGGGAGACGAGGGGATAGGACGACACCGGGGGTCAGGGAGACGAGGTTGGGGGGGAGACGAGGTTGGGGGGGGAGACGAGATGGGGGGGGAGACGTGGTTGGGGGGGGAAACGAGGGGATAGGACGACACCGGGGGTCAGGGAGACGAGGTTGGGGGGGGGAGACGAGGTTGGGGGGGGGGGGAGACGAGGTTGGGGGGGGGAGACGAGGTTGGGGGGGAGACGAGGTTGGAGGGGGGGGAAGACGAGGTTGGGGGAGGGAGACGAGGTTGGGGGGGGGGGGGAGACGAGGGGATAGGGGAGGCCACGAAGGTACGGGGGACAGAAAGACGAGGGAATTAGAGCAGCAAAGGGGACCGGGGGAAGAAGAGGAGATTGCGAAACGAGACGAGGAATAAGATGGAGGAGACGAGGGCCAATGGGGGTCCCCACGTGGGAATGGGGGGGGCGATGGGAGAAGAAGATGATGATGGTGGTGGTGATGGTGAACGATGAAGTGTGTCGAGGCGATGTTTTGAATGAGGCTCATTAAAGCGGTTTGGCGGTGATGGCGGAGACGACGGTGGTGGTGGCATGGCGCTGGCGGCTGGGTAAAGAAGAGGAATCCCCTCGTAATTAAGATGCCGAAGACGACGTTGACGACGTTGGCGATGATGTTGATCGTGATGCTGCAGATGATGGTTGTCGAGGACGATGCGAGCGATGGTGTTTTAATGGCACTACGGTTTCACGATGATGTTGCGAAAGACGATGCCGATAATAAATGGGTCGCAGTCACTATATATGCAAATTACTTTGCAGTGATGTGGATGATATTAGTGAGTTTATCGATAATAAAGACGTGACGATGTTTACTACGATTCTGCTGGTTAATATCTGCATTCACGGTTGTTGATTATGTTGCGGATACTGTGGATCATGTTAATTACAACAACATTTTACGACGTGATATGGATGTTGAGGTTCAAACCGTCGATGTTAGCGCTGTTGGAAGTCGCGCCACTGACGTGGTAGAGCGCTGCTTAAGTTGCTGCTGATAGCGATGTAAAAGTTGTGAATTCTGCTGATGTCTCACGATGCAAATCGTGGTCCGCCACACGGCTGCTAGGATAGCGACGCTGCCGTTCCCGCCTTTAGCGATGGTATCGAATGCTGCCACCGATGCTGCCGAAGTACATTTAGTTGATCACGACGACGACGACGGCGGTGGTGGAAGTTGCTGCTCAACTCGAGATGGATGGTTTACACGATGGGCGAGTAACATCGATGCCCCTCAACAATCACCGCTGATGCTGAAGTCCAGTAGAGGCCCGCTGTTGCCCTTGATGATCCCGATACAAACGATGCCGCTGCTGATGATGGTGGTGATGATGATGATGGTGGTGATGATGATGCTGATGATGTAGCTGCGCTCCTTTTGTGACCCCCGCGCCAGGCCTCGTGCTGCCCTCCCAACCTCCTCGGCGCGCCACTCGCAGCGCGGGCGGCACCTGAGCTAGTGCGGCGGTGGGGGGAGGTTGTGGGGTGGCCCCTTCGGGCGGCAGCCGCTTGCAGTCCGCCGCGGTCCCCCCCGCCCGCCCGCCCGCGCAGAACGGCCGTGCTCCCGCGGTCCCCGCCTGGTATCCCCCCCCCGCCGTGGGTATCCCCCTCGGCCTTTCCCACCCCCCCGCCGTGGCTTCCCCGGTCTCTGAGCGCCGCTGCCCACGGCGGGAGGCGGCGGCCGCGCGTCAAATCGGTATTTGGCGGCGCGCGAGTAAACCGCGCTCCCATTGGCCGCCGGCCGCGTGACGCCGACGGCCGCGTGACGCCACCGGCCCGCGACACCTCCCGTTGGTCCGACGGCGCCCCAATGAGCGGCGGGCGTCTTTAGAGCGCCGCGCCCCATTGGCCGAGAGCGGCGGAGGACGCGCGCCGTTTTCCCGCGCTCCGCGCGCCGGGCAAGTTGGGCGGGCGGGGGTCGAGGGAGGGGGAGAAGGGGGCGGGGGGCGAGGGGGCGGGGCGAGGCAAGCGAGGGGGCGGGGCGGCGAGACCCCCGTGTGCACCCTGACCCGGAGTCTAACCCTCACACGGGGTCTAACCCTCACCCACGTGTGCACCCTGACCCGGAGTCTAACCCTCACCCACGTGTGCACCCTGGCCCGGAGTCTAACCCTCACCCGGGGTCTAACCCTCACCCACGTGTGCACCCTGACCCGGAGTCTAACCCTCACCCGGGGTCTAACCCTCACCCACGTGTGCACCCTGACCCGGAGTCTAACCCTCACCCGGGGTCTAACCCTCACCCACGTGTGTACCCTGGCCCGGGGTCTAACCCTCACCCACGTGTGCACCCTGACCCGGAGTCTAACCCTCACACGGGGTCTAACCCTCACCCACGTGTGCACCCTGGCCCGGAGTCTAACCCTCACCCGGGGTCTAACCCTCACCCACGTGTGCACCCTGGCCCGGGGTCTAACCCTCACCCACGTGTGTACCCTGGCCCGGGGTCTAACCCTCACCCACGTGTGCACCCTGGCCCGGGGTCTAACCCTCACCCACGTGTGCACCCTGGCCCGGGGTCTAACCCTCACCCACGTGTGCACCCTGGCCTGGGGTCTAACCCTCACCCACGTGTGCACCCTGGCCCGGAGTCTAACCCTCACCCCCGTGTGCACCCTGGCCCGGGGTCTAACCCTCACACACGTGTGTACCCTGGCCCGGGGTCTAACCCTCACCCCCGTGTGCACCCTGGCCCGGGGTCTAACCCTCATCCACGTGTGCACCCTGGCCCGGGGTCTAACCCTCACCCACGTGTGTACCCTGGCCCGGGGTCTAACCCTCACCCACGTGTGCACCCTGGCCCGGGGTCTAACCCTCAACCACGTGTGTACCCTGGCCCGGGGTCTAACCCTCACCCCCGTGTGCACCCTCACCCGGGGTCTAACCCTCACCCACGTGTGCACCCTCACCCGGGGTCTAACCCTCACCCACGTGTGCACCCTGGCCCGGAGTCTAACCCTCACCCACGTGTGCACCCTCACCCGGGGTCTAACCCTCACCCCCGTGTGCACCCTGGCCCGGGGTCTAACCCTCACCCACGTGTGCACCCTGGCCCGGGGTCTAACCCTCACCCACGTGTGCACCCTGGCCCGGGGTCTAACGCTTTCCCGAGCTCCGCGTGGACCAGAATTGCCTCTTCAGATTCTGCGTATTAGAGGTGCTGTCGTATAAGGGGATAGCACCAAGTGAGTGGACTTGCAATGCAGAGGCCGCTGGTGCGATCCGATCGTCCTGCTCCCGCAGTTGAAACTACGCAGAAGCTTCTCAACTCTGGCTGTCGCCTGATGATGTTCGTTGTAATTAATGGCGAAACATACTAGAATTGTAAATGTCGTGGGCTTCACTCTCCAACACACCGGTGTGCTGTACTCGTAACGAATTGGCATGTTTTGTTTACATGACAACCCTTAACTAATTGGCTGCGTCGGGTGGTGGCGGGTTTAACGACACATTTATATTCACACGATCTAACTGCAAAAACTTTGATTATTATGGATCCTTAAATCCCCTCCGCCGCTGTCTAGCGAGCAGTCTTAAGTGCTGGGTGCACCAGGTAATTCCCACGTTCTCCCAAGACGTTTGTCGAGCGCGGTCGAGCCACGCCAAGAACCTTCAACCTCCTCCAGGAGACAATTCAGGGCCCCCCTCTGTGAAGGCCTAATCAGCCAAGAGGCATTTTGGGGCTGCACCTTATCCCTACTCAGACGGGCACCCATAATACAGATTTTTTTTTGGGTTTGGGTTACATCGCGTAAATATAAATGTGTCGTTAAACCCGCCACCATCCGACACGGCCAATTCATCAAGGTTTGTCACGTAAACAGAACATGGCAATTCGTTACTCATGTAGTGACATCGGGGACGTCACTGTGTAATGCCGGCCCTGGAGAGGCACGACGTGCGATGTACTCACATCGTGGACACCACGTATATGGAGGTGTAGTACCGGCCGTAGAGGGGCTCGGTGAGTAACGAATTGCCATGTTCTGTTTACGTGACAAACCTTAATGAATTGGCCGTGAGTCATAGCGCTGAGTAGCACTACGCTCGGCGTGCAGTGCCAACCCATACAGGATGGGGTGTGAGAGTGTCGGCCAGGGAATGGGGTTACTATTGGCCGTGGCACTCTGGTTGACCCCGGAGGACACGTGACCGGTAAAGTCTACACAGGGGCCCCAGGTGGGGGCTAGGGGTGGTCACGTGTCGGGGCGAGACCCTGCTCGAGGATTCCAGAAGGTGGTCGTGGCCAAGGGCGGGGCCAGCCACGACCAGTGAGGATATAAGCCGGGTCCCCAGAGGGACCGGGGTTCAGCGTTGCTGTTGTCATCTTGAAGATCTAAGTTCGATATCTGAGAAGAGTCACCAACACGTGGACCTGGACCCAAGACGGGGTCCTGTTGTAGCCACTCCCAGTGTAATTAGTGCAGTTAGCCTGGTGGTCACGTGCCTAATTACGGTGTAATTAGTGCAGTTAGCCTGGTGGTCACGTAGCTAGTTACGGTGTGATTAGTGCAGTTAGACTGGTGGTCATGTAGCTAGTTACGGTGTAATTAGTGCAGTTAGCCTGGTGGTCACGTGGCTGGTTACGGTGTAACTAGTGTAGTTAGCCTGGTGGTCACGTGGCTGGTTACGGTGTAATTAGTGCAGTTAGCCTGGTGGTCACGTGGCTGGTTACGGTGTAATTAGTGCAGTTAGCCTGGTGGTCACGTGGCTGGTTACGGTTTAATTAGTGCAGTTAGCCTGGTGATCACTTGGCTAATTACGGTGTAATTAGTGCAGTTAGCCTGGTGGTCATGTAGCTAGTTACGGTGTAATTAGTGTAGTTAGCCTGGTGGTCACGTAGCTAGTTACGGTGTAATTAGTGTAGTTAGCCTGGTGGTCACGTAGCTAGTTACGGTGTAATTAGTGTAGTTAGCTTGGTGGTCACGTAGCTAGTTACGGTGTAATTAGTGCAGTTAGCCTGGTGGTCACGTGGCTGGTTACGGTTTAATTAGTGCAGTTAGCCTGGTGATCACTTGGCTAATTACGGTGTAATTAGTGCAGTTAGCCTGGTGGTCACTTAGCTAGTTACGGTGTAATTAGTGCAGTTAGCCTGGTGGTCATGTAGCTAGTTACGGTGTAATTAGTGTAGTTAGCCTGGTGGTGACGTATCTAGTTACGGTGTAATTAGTGCAGTTAGCCTGGTGGTGACGTGGCTGGTTACGGTGTAATTAGTGTAGTTAGCCTGGTGGTTAGGTAGCTAGTTATGGTGTAATTAGTGTAGTTAGCCTGGTGGTCACGTAGCTAGTTACGGTGTAATTCGTGCAGTTAGCCTGGTGGTTACGTAGCTAGTTATGGTGTAATTAGTGTAGTTAGCCTGGTGGTCACATAGCTAGTTACGGTGTAATTAGTGTAGTTAGCCTGGTGGTCACGTAGCTAGTTACGGTGTAATTAGTGAAGTTAGCCTGGTGGTCACGTAGCTAGTTACGGTGTAATTCGTGCAGTTAGCCTGGTGGTTACGTAGCTAGTTACGGTGTAATTAGTGTAGTTAGCCTGGTGGTCACGTAGCTAGTTACGGTGTAATTAGTGAAGTTAGCCTGGTGGTCACGTAGCTAGTTACGGTGTAATTAGTGCAGTTAGCCTGGTGGTCACGTAGCTAGTTACGGTGTAATTAGTGTAGTTAGCCTGGTGCTGACGTATCTAGTTACGGTGCAATTAGTGCAGTTAGCCTGGTGGTCACGTGGCTGGTTACGGTGTAATTTGTGTAGTTAGCCTGGTGGTTACGTAGCTAGTTACGGTGTAATTAGTGTAGTTAGCCTGGTGGTTAGGTAGCTAGTTACAGTGTAATTAGTGTAGTTAGCCTGGTGGTCACGTAGCTAGTTACGGTGTAATTAGTGTAGTTAGCCTGGTGGTCAAGTAGCTAGTTACGGTGTAATTAGTGTAGTTAGCCTGGTGGTTACGTAGCTAGTTACGGTGTAATTAGTGTGGTTAGCCTGTTGGTCATGTAGCTAGTTACGGTGTAATTAGTGCAGTTAGCCTGGTGGTCACGTAGCTAGTTACGGTGTGGTTAGTGTAGATAGCCTGGTGGTCACGTAGCTAGTTACGGTGTAATTAGTGTGGTTAGCCTAATGGTCACGTAGCTCGTTACGGTGTAATTAGTGTAGTTATCCTGGTGGTTACGTAGCTAGTTATGGTGTAATTAGCGTAGTTATCCTGGTGGTCACTTAGCTAGTTACGGTGTAATTAGCGCAGTT